TGAGAGTTAAGATGTTATACCCTTATGCAGAAGTCTATACAACAATATGAACCCACAAAATGCAAGCACAAGCGACACTATTAAACCTCGTTCACCGATAATTCGTAAAACACCATTTTAGTGGCATCGCCCGGAATCGTGTAAGTCACAAAACGTTTTCAATAATGAGACAGAATTAGTGATTCACCGCATTTATCAATACAATGGGTGTGAGCGCGGGCAAGTAAGGAATCAGAAACTTACAAATTCACGCATGCAAAAAAGCTGCTCCAATCGCGCGTTCTTCCATACCGTAGTTGTTTTCGCTGCGGGTGCGCCAGCCTGCCGCGCGATGTCGCGTTGCGAAGAGCGAAAAAGTCGCGTTCTGTCCTAAGTACCCACACCCGGCGAAGGAAGAGACGCAGATGCGGCAAAGACGAGTCGCAGCGCGTGCTGTGCGATATGAGACGTAGTATGGTACACTCTATTTAACCTGACGCCTAACCGCTACAGTATGCGCTGCGACTCGTCCTTTGCCGCGTCCGCGTCTCTTTCTTCGCCGCGCGTTGAAAGTGACCCTTCGTACGTTGGTGTGAAGCGAGTCACTTGAGCAAGCATCTTTCACTTTTATGATCCGAATGGTAGACTTGATAGATACCTAGAGACCTACTTGATAGAATCTATCCAAGGGAACTACTTCGAATGGAAGTTTTATGAAAGTTCTCGACCTTTGTGCTATGAATGAGTAATCCTTTTCCATGATTATGGAATTCAATATCTAATTCGGCTTTGGCATGTCGCCAACTCAAACTGCAAGTCATCACAGATTTCTTTTCCAAATTCATTAAACTTCTTGATCACTTTCAATTTGATCACTTTCACTTTATCTGCAATAAGAGGCTTCACGTTCAAAAGCACAAATAAGTGAGCAAGCAACTTCAAGTAACCATATGGCTTGGTTATGGAATCGTAAAATCAATGCAACACGATTAACTACCAAAAATAAGATGATGGTCAAAACCAGTGAGGTAACACAACGCAACTGGATACTACATACAATTCCTGAGTTTAAAACGGCACGATGAGATGACACAGAGATCGCAGTCGATAACACTATGGCGATGAGATGCTTGACACGACGTTGAATAACTTTCCAAAATCCTCGAGATTCTGGATTGATCTGTAAATCGAAAAATGGCTAAATAAAGAAATTAAACAGTTTACAAAGTACAAAACCTTCTTTTTAAGATATGATTGGACAACTGCGAAACTTATTGGACGCGTTGGAGAATTTGGAGAGGGCAGTGCGAAGGTACCAGGAGGTGAGGAAGGCGCAGGAGGGCGTACGCTCGAAGGTAACACGCGCCTTCTGCCCACCCGTATGAGAACTTTTGATGAAGTACCTAGCCGTGGCCGATCCTTCCAACTTCAAAATTACACGGGATTGTGCCGAGAGAGTTTGGAGACTTCTATGAGGTTCTCGCTGATAGCCTGAGACACCCTATAACTCACGCCTCTCCGATATCTGGCGAACAGCGACTTTTCGCTTTTTTAAGGTAACAAATGCTTTTGAAAAGGTTTCCTTGACGGTGCTAATGCCTGCAACTTAAGATTTGTGGGCACGGCTCCGAGTTCTGCGCCTTAGCAGAGGACCTCCACATTGGAAGAACGACACTGAGTGGCATTATTTTTGAAGTGGCCAGAGCTATAACGTCAGGTGGGTTTCGTGACTAATGCAAGCAACGAGCGTTAAAAGAATATAAGGCATCGACATCCCGGCTACAGTAACTTCATTTCCAGTGCTATACCCAAGAGCTTTCCCGGAAATCACAACAAACACGTTGGAAGAGATCGCCCACGAAACAAACGAGAGATATGATTACCCACGCGCCGTTGGGTTTATGGATGGAAAGCATATATACCTAAAAGTAGGAGCAAACAAGCCCTGGTTTTTCTCTACAAGGTATTATTTGGTTGCAGAAACCTGCGCACACGGGTAGCAGATACTACAGCTACAAAAAAAGGTGCAGTATCGTCCTACTCCCTGTCGTGGACTGCGACTGCCGCTTCCTACTGTTCGACGTTGGGACGCCGGGCGCAGGGAGTGATTCGGGGGTCTTCTTGCGTTCAGGGATCAAGGTGAGGCATAAGTTCACAGTATGTAATTCATCTGCAAACTATTTCAGCAATTTTTCCGGAGCAATGACCACATCTTCCCCCCAACACGAGAGCTTGGAAGTGTGGGGCCAGTGCAATACCACATACTGGTGAGATTGCGGCTTTGCACATGGACATCGCTTCGTTACGCCATATGCGAGGGGATCAGCGAATACTGCGAGCAGGCGCAGGTTTAACAGAAAGCACAGCGGGTGAAGTGTCCATTCTAGCCGTCACTTGAAGTGTTATAGTTGATGTCGTTTGCAGGGCTCGCTCAGTGGTTGAAAGAGCATTCGGCTTACTACGAGCGCGTTTTCATATACTCGGACGACCAATGGAGCTGAAGCCCAGCCGTGCAATGGAATTGGTGGCATCGATGCTGGTGAGGAGCACCTCTTTGCAAGTATACTATTTCTCAGATGCTTAAGCCTCAAGATTTACTAGCACAGGTGCTTCACAATTGGTTGAAAAGGAGGAGGAAACGCTGAGGAACCGAATGTGAGTTCCACGACTCCTGTCCATGAGCCAGAAGACATTGATGAAGAGGTCGCCGACGTAGAAGTGGAAGCCGACGCAAGACAAGAACGAGCGGCTGCAGAACAATCGAGAGATCGAATAACGGTCAACTACGACCACATATACGGCGGTCCTGTTCAAGCGTAACTTAGCATTGTATTTGAACCGTTTCGTTGTTTTCCCTTTTGTACATTTGATTTTGACTACTTTTCGCTTACTCAGCCGTAATAAAGATGAGTCAACTGAAGACCGGTGTCACGGTTACCAAATTGAGCGAATCGCTAGCGGTTTGCTCTATTCGCAGAAGTACGAACTGGTCTGAACGGGATTCTACTGATTTCAGAAAGAGAGATCCAGCTTTGTACTAATCTGATCACTCCGGTGGCAACGCTTCGTCCTCCACGTTTCCTTGAGATCCAGCCGGAGGCTCAATCGAAACTAGAACGTAATTGGGCAGAATTACTTCCATTATTTGGCGCATTTTGAAGTTGGCCGTTTCAGGGGTTTCATACGTTTCGCGTAGCTGCTCTCCTACGAGGCCTAAATCATCAAAATATTGGCCATCCAGAGCTCAGAGTAGTAGGAATGCATACCGAAATAACGAAATCTGTCGCCTTTGTTTTTCGCTCCTTCCCCCATTTGTGTAACCAACGCTTCAACATTTCCCGCCGCTGACCGCACCGCCCCCAACGCCTCTGTAAGAGGAATGGTTAGAACAGAAATTTTGATAAAAACGATATATCCCACCATCCTTCATCCCTTCTGCTTCCTTTTTGCACTTGGTTGGCTTCTTCCACTACCCGCAGAAGACGCTTGGGAAGACGCTTGACTGTGGCTCCTCTGGCTCCCTGCGGGGGAGCCCCTATCCTCTGGAAGATCAAGGTCAAGATCGAGAGTTGTCTTGAAT